CTTCATCTCGGATTCGACCCGTTTATATCCGCAAAGATAGTCAACTGAAATCATAAAAATATGCGCAGTCGCACACTAAGAAAGTGATTATTTGGTAGTTCTTAGTTTTTTGCTCTGTTTGACACGTATAAGTTTGTTCACGTCGTAAATTCATTGCTTCGCACTTGAAGTGATTTTGCATAAACAATTTTTGTTTGAATGAGTATTTGACCAGATAAATTTCACTCTGAACCATTCAGTGAACGAGAAAAATGCAAGCAAATCATGGTGATTCGTCTAGTGCGGATAGCTGGTGCTCGGGAAATTTGCATTCACTACACCTTTATGCAAATTCAGCTGATCGTCAATAGCAAGTTCAATTGAGCTCTTCACGAGGCATTCTTGTAGGTGTTCAAGCGGGCGGGTGGTTGCTATTCGGACGATTAAATTGCTCAATATCGTCGTCTGCACGGTATCATCAACTGATATGGTTACATTCACCTGGCTCTAAAGAAACACTTTAGAAATAACAGTAACATAATAGAAAAATGGAATTTAGCTAGCGTATCAGCATAGCACATCATTTGATCCGATGCTAACATTGGGTTTTCTGATCACTCGATAAACACTAATTGAACATTTGAGCTCAGTGCTGACTGAACTAATGGAATGATGAATGTTCATGGCGATAGTGTTTCAGATTATTTCTGTCAGCTACAATAATCAAGGTGCATCGCAATTTCTTTGCCGTTTCATGATTCAGCCTAGGTCTTGCAGAAGTGCGCATTAGAAAAGTGAGCACAATCCAGTCGAATTGATTCAACTAACTGGACAAAGCCCATTCAAGTTGGAATTGATAACAGCTTGAAAACAAGCGAATGGAGCCGACAGTGCTTTACGCAGTTATTGCAGTGGTCATTATAACGGGTTGGTTACTAAAGCACTTCACGAATGCGGTCAATGCCACATGATCGTTGTCGTAAGGTGTCATAACTGTTCGATACTTTGATCATTTTCGATCATCACAAACCTTTTCAGCAATCGTTGTGCCGATTCTTTGTGTGCTGTTGTACGTTTTCGGATTTTACATGTACATTTCAAGTTACTTTGAAGATACAGAAAAGAAGCATCAAAAGCACCAACACGACAAAAAGTATCGTCAGCCAGGTAAACTGCACGATTGCTCCGATATTCTCTTCTCTTTGCTAACGTCGATTTGTCGAAGCAAAACGCTCTAATCAACATTGTTATCCATTTCTCTGATGTGGGCGCTTTATTTAGAAAGCAGCATGCAATTTAAAGTCATTTCTTGAGGGCTTGATTTCTTGAAGATAGAGCTGGGATTGTTACAGCGTTAAGGATGATGACCGTTTTCAGCACTTCGTATTTTCATTGTGAATTGTTTCAGAAGCAGTAGTTGTTCATGAAAAGAAGCATAGGAGAGCGAAGAAAACAGAACCGAAACGTTCAAGGACGACTCCAGCTCATGCAGATCATAAACCTGAAAAGAGCTCCAAACGCGTTCGTCCGCCTTTCATCAAACTTTCTTCACTTCCCTTCGTTCTGATCCGTTCAGCTGTTCCCTATATCGATCGTCTTTGTGACGAGTGGAAGTGAAAAATGATTTTTCAGAAAGACGAACGACCTTCTGAAGAATCAACAAAATCGTACAAGACTGGAGGTTATCAACGCGATCGCGCGGAAGGGGACAGCGGTTCAGAATCGGATCGCACCAGCCCAAAACGTACAGGCCCGGGTGGTGACGATAGCGGAGAGGAACATTCAAGAAAGAAACGAGTTCGTCGTTTTTGCTTGTATTTTTATCATTTTCAAAAAATCGGTCGACTCAAGAAACAATGATGCTGCTTATGGAATGGCACCGATCATGTGATTTCGCTAACCGTTTCCTGAGCTACAATGTTACGTGTCGTCTTCACCTTTCGGTCCTTTTTTGTTTCAAAATTTTCCATGCAAAAGACACTCAGTGTGTGTTGACGTTCACTAAACAATTTTGAGCATTATGTCAAATGTACGTTCACATGTCAAAAGCATCAGTAGATGTTTTAGAAAACCATATTCTCCGATGCCTATCTCGACAGCAGAAGACTGAATTATTTCAGACCACAAATCAAGAATCATCCAGACGTCGTCATCGCAGTGCGAAGAATGACGGAGATTCAGAATGAATAAACATAATCAAAGCGACTATCATCTATCGTACTAAAACGACGAAAACATATCAACTTCGTCTTCAGGATGAATTCCGCAAAATGAGGAATCCATCTGGTTTCTTATTGATACAATGTTTTTAGTCCTACCTTGCTTCAAGTAAAATATTCAGCACTGATTTCACATGATCAAAGTCTGTGGTTATGACATATGGAATAAAAAATTCATCTCATTGTCATTTCTGAGAAGCTGTCATTGTCAGCTTCACAAGTCGTTTCAAAATTTTCACTGAAAGCATGGTTCTCGGCAAACTTTTCACAGTCAATCAGCACAACTAAAATCCCTGATCGCTTCATCGAATAAACAAGAAAGTTTATTCAACCGCCAGATTGAATGACACCAATTGCGCAGTAAACATGAACACACAAAACAAATCAAATTAATCACTTATGTATTCCGTTTAGCAAATTATCATACGAGCGTTCAATGTTTGATACCAGTGGATGATGTCTTCTTCTGGCTAAAAGTATGGAAGATCATCATTCGTGGCTCGGATGAACTGTACGCGCTCACAATCGAGAGAATTCGTTCACGTAGGAATGTTGGCGTTTGCTGTGTGATAAAGTCGCAAACACTTCGTCGAATCGCCTCTTGTCGTATCATGAATACCAGCGCCTCATTCGTGCAATTCAAAAACGTCAACGACATCGTATACGGCGATACCACTCGCAGTAGATCGACGTTCCCGAAGCACAAACACAGTTGAATTAACGATGGAATCACGAACAGAACTGAAAGTGATGNCATTGATGCATTTCATATAGCATTATCATGTGCTTCTTGTTTATTACTAGCAATCAGCAATGCCGACAGAATACGGAAACTAATCACCAACAAACAGTGACGTGAACATCAAAACATCGCTGGCTTTTCGAATGTTTTGCATACGAGCAAAAAAATATGGCAAAAAAAGAGATGCTGATTCCTTGATAACGAGGATATTTGTGTAAGAAGTCGTGAGAGGGAACGACATTCGGAATTGCTCGGTTAGACGTGTTCTGTTGGACATCTCAACACATATGCTAAGATCAACCTATATTCTCCATCATCGAATTTTTTCAACGCAGAATTATTCGAGGACTTGGCGAGGGGGCTTAGTGTGTAGTATTCATTACCTCACTGAAACTATTCTCCAAGATTCCGTGGCTCTGAATTTTTATCAACAAGGCAAATTTTTTGAATAGCAATGTCACTTACAGAGGGTAATTATGCATGAGATAATTGTAGTATAGGTAAGTTTACGTTGTCTTTCACGGAACGAATGAAGTTGGTCAGCGCCATGCGCTTGTGTGTTAAACACTTTTGCACGTCTCCTGCAATAGTTTCGATATCATCACCTACGACAATATCAAATGTATCATTTGCAATAGGAATCGACGTTCCTGAAGAATTTTTTTGAATGACGACAAGAGCAATAGTTACAATCATGGTTATTTCTTCTTCCCTTAGAAGCCGTTTCACTGTATTATTGAGTGAAAATATATAGGACTCAAACTTATTAACCACTATCATCCACTGAACGTTGTCGCACTGAAATAATTATTGTGTGAAGGAGCACTAATCAACAGCCTAGCATTCGACGAATCGACAACAACATCGATAATTATCGTGGACAATTAATCGGCTACTTTGGCTTAGTCATCTCGAAAGGATTTGACTCTTGGCAAACGCCAAGTTACGAGTGGATTTGCGACAAATTCAATTATTTGCAACCAGTAACACTGTGATAAACAACAGCTAGCAAATATATAGAAATGAATTTTGTGATCGACGCGACACCCCGTTTATGCATCAAATTGCGATTGAGTTCTTAAGTGCATGAAATGCTTAGTCAGCTTGAACATTTAATTGAACAAATTACTCATTAACGCTAGAAACTGCTTGTATTTGATCACGGAAGCGTTCATTACCAGTTAATTGTGTTTATTATCATTCAAATAGGATTTGCAGTCATACTAATGGCGTTTCTCATCAAACTGAGATTGCTCATTGAAGAAATCATTCACTCCAACAGGTGATCCGTTCCATTCTGATTCCATTAATGGAAAAGGACTGACTGTCTAACGTTTGAGAATGCTTACATGAACATGACCACAACAATAGTCAACATCACACAAACCGCAAGTGTGCCCGATATCGATCGAACTGCTATAATTGCCACATAGAACGGGAAATTTATTGTATCGAATTGCCTGAAAGGATTGNGGAAAAACTCAATTATTTGAGATGTAATATTGATCTTCAGCAGGAGATTTTTTCGTATTTAATATCATCATACAGATTCATTATTTCTAATCGTCGGAACCTTAATTTTTCTAGTTACTTGCTTTTTTTTACAATGAAAGTGTGAGCAATAATTTGCTTATCATTTTTGCCATCGCTTCAAGCAATTCAGTTGTTTACCTGCATGTTCTTGTCACATACTGTTCACTTGCTGTGAGCGTAACTATGACAGCAGCCGTGATTAATGCGCCGGACAAGGCGACACAAATGAACATCAGCAAAAGCATAATGCGATTGTGATTATGAAAATAGAAAATTGGTATCACAAACGCGGCCGCACGATCCAAATTCAGCATCAATAGACCAATACCATTCATCAAATTGAAGAAAAGTAACGCTACGAAAATAACCTGAAAACCATGATGCAAGGTGTTTTCAACTCTAAGTGAAAGGTGGCAACAATACGTTGTATCGATATGAACTGATTTCAGATAAGTTTTCCGATTCGTTTAGGTACGGTGCTGCGAAAATGTGCGTTCACCAGAAATAAACATCAACTCTTGCGAAAGAAGGCCAACATGATGGTACTTGGCGCATACTGTTCATCAGTATGCGCCAAGTACCTTGTGTGTGTGTTTGTTTGATGGTAGAAAAACAAACTTTTTCCTAGCAGTCCCTCATCTGAGTCTAGTCAATATTCACTGTGATGTTCTTGAGTGGCATTTTCTGATAAAAATCGTAAATAATTGAGCACACGAGACTCATATCAGAGTATCAGAGTGGAATCGGTTAGCAACAAGTTCATTGGATCGATTGGATTTCGGATTGTGACAGCAAACTGCAACGAAAATCGCTTACAGTCAACACGCATTGCTTTCTCGGCACCATTTCATGTGAATCAAAATTGTCGCTTGTCAAAAGCGCCACTCGGTATGCTCCAACTGAGAGCAAGCAAACCCCGGTCGCGGCACCGTTGAATACCAACAAAGCGATCAACATGAACGACGATCTAAAGTTTAAACTATCGAGTTACGAGGTGGCAAGTGGATTCCATCTATTGCAAGAATCTTGTGACACTCGGAGCGTTCCAGCTGAATCACCTTCAACTAGAGACAAATTCAGCTGAAGCAGCTGAACTTGGTTTGCCCAATCGAGTTGGAATCAAACACACACGATAGATTGATCAGTTTAGAACATTTCTCGGATGATCTAAATGATCCAAATTCAAAAAAAAACATGAAATGTGAAATCTTTTACCATTATTTTTTCATCGGTTACATAGGAATTACTGAGCTTTTCGGCTAAAATTTAAATGCTGAATGTTGCATTCTCTAGTCACCTTAATTCCTTCCTTCTCATGATTCCAATCA